ACCTCTTCAAGCATGGTGAGTAGCTTCACTTTCCTTCTTTGATGCTCAATCCGATCAGACGCCGATAAAGGAGGATGATCCTTGATTGCTCCGGCCGACGACGGAGAGCCGTCGCCACCGCCGCTAGTATTAGGGTTTGAGCTATTCCTAGGTTTGTTTTTCTTCAAATATCCTCTTCCAACACTACAAAACTCTTCCAACAACTCTTGCGTAGCGGTCGTGTACCTCGAGTTTCTTAAGGCACTGATCGCTCCGATGGAAGAGGAAGAAGAAGCCACCGTCGCCGGAGATGATCGGAATTGGTTCAACACTTGATGATGATGATGTTGTTGAGAGGAATTAGCAAGAAGAGTCTTGAATTGATTGTATTGATGATGAGTTGATTCGTTAGAAGAATTGCTTCCATAGTAAATGTTTCTATACTCTTCAGCTTTTGCTGCAGCCTCTAAAGACGATGAGAGAGATAAAGACAAGCCTTGTCCTCCTCCGGTTTGGCTGTTGTGATGATGATGATCGGAGGGAGAAGAAGACTGCCACGTCAGCTGCTGATGTGGAAGTTGATGCATAGACATATTGTTGTAGTTTTGTTGATGAGATGGATTTGGTAGTAACATGTGAAGAGTTGAAGAATTGTGTTGGTGGCTTCTTGTGGTGGTTGTTGATGCCGGAGACGGTGGTTGTTGTGGTTGCGGTGGTGGATTCATTAAGAATAACTGCATGGCGGCGGCGGAATCCGTAGCATTCATCGCCGGAATATTCTGATGTTGTTGCTCAAGTAACTGTCTATTTGACCGGAAAGATTGTCCGTGACCAAGATCTCCTCCTCCACCGGGGAAATTAAACATTTCTGATAACATTCCGGCAGTTTCGTACACGGGAATCCCACTTCCGGCGACTGATGATTCCTCGTCCATCTCTTCTACCCTTTGATGTTCTTGCTTCTGCTGAGTAATTGTTAGAGAATCTGATCGGTCGAATCCATTAGAGCAGCTGAAGATTCCTCCTTGTTGTTGTTGATGATGATGATAATCTTGGGACATAGAATTATTATGAAGACTCTTCAAAAATTTTGTAGAAGTTTTAGCTAATCCCATATCAATCTTCCGATCTTCTTCTTCATCATATATATAAAAATATATCTCTTTCTCGGATCCTGTAATGATTCAGACAAAGAATTTAAAACATAACTC